GAAGGTGATGCAGATTTTGGAAGAATGAACGGCTATCTCGCTTCCGTGGAGGAGTGGGGACTCGAGGGAGGGCGCTGGGCTCGACTTCGGAGGACGCGATGGGTCCAGCGGCGTCGCTAGCGGCGTGATTGGCCAGGTCAGCGGTCGGTCTGGTCGGTATGACGCTTCTGGACTTTGGCATGTATGTAACAACGTGAAGAGGACGTGTACAGAAGGTTTGTTCTCCACCTCACATGTTGGCCTCTCGATCACTAATAGTAAGCATGGAGGAGTACTTACACCGGACGTACCGCGGTCTTGACCACGGCTAGACCGTGGCTGTCAGCGAACTTTCAGCCGCATCCAATCACCGAGGGGATTGACAGGCCGTTTTCCGCCCAATTCTGAGGGGAGATAGAGGGAGTCCGAGCGCCGCACATGCCCACATAGCAGTTGGAAATTGAAGGCCAGTGTATTGAACGTATGTTATTCTCGCCCTGACCAGAAGACATATTAGAATTCACGGAACATCGTCGAGGGGGCTCTCAATGTGCCAAGCTCGGATGACAGTGTAATTCCATCAACATCTACGTGTCCAAGCACGCCCAAGCCCGAGTCTTTGAGTAACTCCGTTCAATTCTGCACGGGGATGCATGCTCCAAGTCGCCCCAGGTATACAATAGTACAGGCTTGCATTGCGCACTAGTCCGCTCTGCGGTCGTCCCGGGCCACGCCAACTAAGTAGGACTTCGCACATACATAATCGGCACATTGCGCCTTCCATCACGCCATGAGCAGGCACGAGACGGGCATCGCAAACCATCCTCTTTCCAGCGCATGGCGCGACAAGGCACGGCCGACATACGGAAAAGCCACCGAGTTGCCGAACGCGGACGCGGCATCCAGTATCCATGTCCCCTGCAGCGACTTAGGCAACCGTCCAAGTCGCCGAGCTGATAGACTCAGGGCCAGTACTCGCCGGTCTGCATTATGTATATATATGTACCCGGCGTTATCGCGTCACACACACCAATCATAGCGGCCGTCGAGAAGACGGACGCTGTAACAGCGTTGCTATTCGTATCGCAGACAATACAGTCGCGTGCCGGGGCCTGGGAGCGGCGCACGACGAATGTGCTGGACGCTCGAGAGTCGAGGCTGCAGACTCCAGACTTTGCTGCGAGTGCACGAGAAGGCACGACCACGAGGCGGCCTTATCTGAATGGGAAGAAGACGGCGGGAAAGCTTACCGGTGGCGCCAGCCGCAGCGCGATTGAGCGTGGACGCGAACTTTCGACTCTGTAGGTAGTGAAGGTTTGAAGTCCGGAGCTGGTAGCTTTGATTGGCGGTGCAATTGGTCGAGCCGACCTTCTTGGTCACTCGGTCAAGAGCGTGTACGCGGCAGGTTGGATTTTGGATAGCGGAGACTCGGAGGAGAGAGTGGAGAGTGACGTCCTCAAGAGACAATTGCGAAGTCGGGAACCTTGCTTGGCCTTCGGTGAAGGGACTTGGTCCTGCAGCCTGAGGTGAGCGGCGCCGCCCAATTGTACTGTACAAGTGGCGTGTGTGTGTGGGCGAAGCGGTAGAATATACCAGAGCGTAAGTCGTAGAAGAGTGTCAGTAAAGACAGAGCGCACTCCACTGTGGCAGACAACAGCAGCAAGTTTGTAGCCGTGAGCTTGCGCTCTAACTTCGCGTGGACGTGGACGGATGGTGCGCTATGTTGAGAGAACCCACTCATGTACTCGATCGTCGGAAACCGGCGATGTATTCGCAGCACAGGAACGAAGCTCGATGGTGGTGTATTCTTGCAGACTACCGGCCGGGATGCCGTGAAGAGACTTTGTAGTGCACTGGAGGCGTGAGCTAATGGCAGAGCGTATCAGAACGGAAGTCGTAGAAGCCGAATGTACTCCACCATGGACAAAAGAACGACTTTTGCCCGCAAGTATGCACCGGAAGTAGGAAGTTGCACGGCGCACTCCGTTCCTCGCACTGCCTCGATCTTCGAGTGGTGCTTCATTTGCAAATGTTAGCCTTGGGATGTACGAATAATAAGCCACTGTGGTCTGTGCCAATAACCGCTCTTCCGAGTGGGTGGTTCGACTAGCGATGTTCAACGTTCACCAGCGCAGGGGCGCGCAGCTGTCAAGCTTCAGGTACAGTATAGTAGGATGAGTGGAGTGACCTGTGAAGCTTCCAAGTCGAATGTCATGGGATGATCGATCGGCCTGTCGTTCCTTCAAGAACGTTGGTCACTGGCCAATCCTCTCGGCTCCGAGCTTTGAGGGTGCTGTCAATGGAAACTATGCATATCAAGTATGAGGCGTGCCGCGTGCTGCAGGGAGAAGAGATGGGGCTGAACCCACCGACAGATCCGAGCACTTGGAAAAAGTCGTTTACATTGTTCGTTTTCTGCCTGGAAGTACACGATGGAGGAGCGTCGAGTAGCCGAAACGCCACCACATCTAGCCGTTTCCCGGACCCATCTCCGTGAGTGTCGGGTGCCAGTGGAGAGGATAGGGGGTTCGGTTTTCGGTCGGTCTTGCAAGGCCGGAAGCAGGCGACGACCGATACTGTACACATCACTGGAATATCAGCGGGCCCGCGACTTCAAATATATGATCACTCACCACCGACCGAGTGTCTCGTCCCGGACGTTGAACATCGCCGCGGTGACAACGTTCAGCCTCGTTCAGCCTAGCCTTCGGTCCTGCCACAACGTGTTCGCCCAGATGAAGCTCATTCTGCATAAATGCATTCTTGAACATTTGACATTGAAATATTGACCCTTTACGCATACCAAGCAGCACTAGGTGACTGCACAATGCACAGAAGACTGTAGGACATACTTCAATATGAAGATTGTCAGATGACTTCCTGCGGCTAAAAGTTCAATGAGTCAAGCTCGCATACTAGCATTCCATGACATCTTGAGCTCATCTTCATATGTAGATATCTTGTATAGTCTTTCATCTGAGGAGGAACGTCCTCGAGATGTAAGTTGTGCGTTGAAGGTGGAGTACCACTTACGCGTCCAACGCGTCTCCTACGGTCCGGTCCGATCCGCCTCACGGGCCGGTGGCTTTGACGCGAACGCGACGCGTTCAAACTACACGCCGTTGCTTCTGTCCACCGTCATCTCTTGGCCGCTATCTACAACGGACACTAATTCTAGGCTATCTGCGGTGGAGAAGATTCCTACCAAGGTCCGGTTACAGATTTTCCGGCACGTACCACAGTCGACGGACTTGTAGCGTGGGCGTCGCGTCCCGCAGGTTTCCAGTGACCTCACCACCCGCGCACTCCATTGCGACCTCGTATGGATGAATGTGAAGCACGTCGTGGAAAACCTCTCCGTGTAGGAGACGAACGAATGGATGGCTAATTTTGTCCGTTTTCTCCAGGTCCGCCACTGGAATGGCCTTGAACCCAACACTGCCCGAGAGCACAAGTTCATGTTAACTATCGACGGTACTTGCCGATCTGAACTAGCTGCTAACTTCATCCGCACGGACGCCTTTGCATGTAACGTTTTGTCCCAACGTCAGGATTGCCTGCGATGGGTATGTCTAATGTCATATCGATCTTTGGGACAGTCGCTGCACTGACGAAGTTGCAGTGTGAGTTCACAGGTTCTTCGCGAATCGTTTCAACCACTTCTGGATGACAATATCCTGCCACCAAGTTACACAATGAGCCTTGGCGGTGTGTCAGTCCAACGTCTTCTCCGACTCACCTCGTCCCACACCGCCTTGAGACTGGGCCTCTTCTTCCAGTCGTCCACATACCGACGCAGCCTCGCGAACCGAGGCGACGACTCCAACTCGGCCTTCACCTTCTCCCCGTGCTTCATCTTCACCCAATACCCAACGCCACCCTTGACGAAGACGTTGACAAACAGGAGCGACGGGACAAAGGCGGCGTCCGCGATCGACCACTCGCCCACGACGAAGCCCTCGTCGGGCAGCATCCCCTGGAGCGTCTCCAACGTCTGCAAAAGCCGGCTCCCGTCCTCCTCGTTGGTAATCCACAGGTCGTTGTCCGAGGGGATCTTCTCTCCCACGATGCTCATGAACAGGCGCGCTTTCGCGCGCTGGACGGGGTCGGCCGGTAGGAGCCCTGCGTCGGGGAACAAGTCGGCGATGAACTCGAGGATGACGAGCGACTCGTAGAGCAAGACCGAGTCGGCCGACGGCTTTTCGGGCGGCGCATCTGCTGCCCCTCCGTAGATGAGAGCAGGTACCTAGAGTGCCAGAGTTGGTGAGTCTGTGCACTGTGTACGATAATTGACCTCGGGCGGAAGGACTCGGAGCTGACCTTGCCTGTAATAGGGTTCACGGCCTCGACGAACCACGATGGCTTCTCGTCCAAGTCGAAGTAGACCGGATCGTACGTTGCTCCGGCCTCTTGAAGGGCAAGTCGGACCTGGAAGAAAAAGATGTCACGCTGTACGGAGACAGGATACAAATGCTCCGTACTCTGAGGACATAAGGTGAAGTCTGCGCCATCATCAGCACGCATGCACTGATGCTGTAGAGTGCGAGGAGATGACTCACCGGAGCACCATACAGCACGGTTCTTTGGGGATGGGAGGCCATCTGTAGGTAACTCAAAGGCTTCAAGGCTGTTGCACACCGGTGAGCTTCCAACTTGGTTGATGTCTGTTGGCTGCCGCAAAGTCCCTTCATATACTCTGCTGCAGCGCCAACACCAATCCCGGGTCGGTTGATAACGGAACAGTCTGTGTCTGTTTCTATTTTTTCTTCCTGACTATTACACCGATCGGAGGCCCCCAACGTGAAAACTCGCAGACGTTGACGTCGCGAGAACCTTGGATCGGCCTTCCTCGGGTACCCGTGAGCAGATGAGTATTTTTTGACTCTTCATTCATACGCAAACAAATTAGAGAAATCCCTTGAACATGAGTCCGACAATGTGGCGTCAGACAAGGACAGCACGTCAGGTCTCCTCTCGTCAAGTAGATCTGTTTGAGGTTCGCAAGGTGACCAAGAGTAAAATGGACGTTGAGGGGTTTGAACCCTCGACCTCACGCATATGATTGTTGAGAGAGCATGCAAAGCGTGCGCGCTACCACTGTGCCAAACGCCCTTATGTCGTGTCCTCCCCACAACTACGTGAATGTGTCGTATACCAACGTGCCGGCCGAATCTCGCTGTACTGAACGCGCCCTGCAGAACCCGACCTCGTCATCTGCTCGGAGTACACTATGAGCTATCCCTGCTCTGCCGTACCTTGCGGGACCATCACCGCTGCCGGACTTACATTCGTTGTCAGCGTGAACCTCACCTGACCCCACTTCTTACATTCATGGTCCCCGGGCCGGGCAGCTGTTGTTCGTCGGGCCTGAGCATCTCCACGTCAACAGCAACACGTCCTGAAGCACTATAAGTACATCCCGCATTCCGTTGAGCAGAGCTTTGCGAACGGTATTGCCGGTCAAAAGACACCTGATGCACCACTTCGTACTCCTCTCCTTCGCGGCGTCCTGCGTCGCGGCATGGTCAACTTTCACCGTCCCACATGTGGACGGCCAGGATGATACCCCAGCGTTGACTGATGTGCTCGCCATGGGCAACTACTCCACGAATGCGACGATCCTGTTCGCTAAGGGCACGAAGTATAACATCTTCACGCCCATCAAGTTTCCGACTCTCACGAATGTAGAAGTCCGCATCGAGGGCAATATCAGTTACCCCGATGACATAGCTTCAGTACAAGGTGAGTTTCAATACTTCAGGTTACGGCTGGCCATGGACTGACTGCATGCACCTGGACAGGCATAGTAGGATCATCTGTGAGTGTGCGCGTCTTAGGGCGCATAAGGAGGTTCATCCGCTGTCAAGAGCTCACCACATACATATAACTTAGGGTTTTCCGGGCTCATGGTTAGTTCGCTGGTGTTGGCATGCACGCATGTCTCTCAAATGATACTGAGAACTGAATGCCTGTCTACCTGCAGGTTCACGTTCACCGGCGGGACTAACGTCACCCTTCGTGGTTCGACCGATGAGAACTGGGGCTGGGTTGACGGCCATGGACAAGCGGTACGCCATCCTCGAGCTAATGGAGTCTCTCTCTCGCTCTCTGACGCATCCCTATTCCAGTGGTGGGACGCTGTCGAGCAGACCAATCGTCCGCACGGATGGGCTTTCAGCAAGATCACCAACGGCGTGATCCGGGACATGAAGTTGTGGAAGGTATGTACGTGTCAGTTATGCTTCAGCAACACTACGTATAACTGAGTACCTACCGTCGCCAGCCTGTCGCTTGGAACTTTGCTACCAGTGGTTCGTCGAACATCCACACATATAACAACAGGATTGTCGCGGTCTCTGACACCGACGTAAGCCAGCATGCCTCACCAGTTTCATCAGTCCGCTCATGCCCTGCCTTAGTCGTTTCCGTTTAACACGTAAGTATTGTACCCTCGCGCCCGTAACCCCAATGACACGACTCGGTCCCCGCGTACTCATATCACACCGTTTGTTTTCAGTGACGGTACGCTCTCCCACTGAACTGCCCTGCCGTCCAACATCACGTCTGAACATGTGCCACTTCCAGGCTTTTCCGCGGGCGGAACGAACCTGCTGTTCGAGAACAATCATATCCAGAACGGCGACGACTGCTTGACGGTCGGAAGCGGCGCCAAGGATATCATCTTTAGGTATGCGAGGACCGCTACGTACTCCTGAGGGCTCGCACCTATCTTTTTGCACCGCGATGCACAGGAACAGCTACTGCGAGGGTGGTCATGGTCTTTCGATCGGCTCCCTGGGCAAGGGCGGAGACGTCGCTGATGTGCAGAACGTCCTGTGAGTTGCTTCGATGCATTCTTACTGTGAGATAGGTGCTGATTCTGACTCATGGGGTATCTAGCATCGAGAACGTCGTTATGGTGAGTACTCTTCACGTCTCCGTATGTTCCTTACTCACTCTCGTATCTTTGCAGAAGGATTCTCTGTATGGAGCTCGTTTCAAGAGCTGGACTGGGGGCAATGGGCTCGCTCGCAAGTGAGTATAGATCACACAGGTTGCGTCGTCAAAACGCTCATATCTTGACTAGCATCACCTGGAAGAACATCACCTTCACAAACGTCATGTTCCCGGTATGTGGCCCGTTTCGCTCGCATCGCTGATATTGACAGCCTCTACCGGGCAACTACGTAGATCTACGTGACGCAGAACTACTGGGATCAGGGTGTGCGTCTTTGCGCAATTGCTCAGGCCGCATGAGAGGCGTGTTTACTAACGAGACTCTGTTTCGTATCTCCAGATCGGCGCGAAGCCTAACTCCTCGAGCACGAATAATACGCATATCCAGGACTTCCTCTTCGAGAACTTCGCCGGCACGATCAACGAGTACGTTTGATATGCCCATCCACCTGCCTTCGCCTTCCTGACCGCGTACCCCACCAACAGCAAACCAGGATATGTGGAAGGCTCATGCGTGAGCGATCCCTGCTGGTAAGCATTCAAGCATCCTCCCTCTATTGCCTGTAATTTAAATCCATGTACACGACCAGGTACTACGTCGAGGGCGCTACCGGCAAGGAGGTTGTCATATTCGACCTGTATCCCAACACCGGTACGTCGCGTTTCTACTCCACCGCCGTACCCTGGCTCAATCTCGTCATCTTCTCTGCCGCGCAGCCACGAACATCGTCGCCAAGCACATGGTCGCCACGACAGAAACGCATTCTCCGGTCAGGGCGATGTGCAACTCCACCACGGTACGATCCGTTGCTGTTCCCACTCTCACCCGGGATATCTGAGGCTAACGCATGCAATCCCTAGATTTCGTCGGATGTCGGCTTCAAGTGCTGGGACGGTCTGTTCATCCCCACCGCGAAGGGGCTGCTATAGGCCTGGGACGATACTTGCTGAGAGTGGATCATGAGCAGAGGTGCAATTGGGCGGGAAAGACATACGACCAACTTCTCGGGTCGTGGAGGAGGCTCAATCAATTGTCTCTTGACCCCAAACCAGCTTGACGCCATGTTGAGTCACTTGAGGGCGTATAAGCGAGTAGGTACCGAGAAATGCGTCAGACCTGACCATTGGCGTGAGCATGAACCCATTATTACAATCCTCCGACGTGAAAGGGGCATATTCCGGTCTTCGTATTTTTGCGACCGAGGAGAAGGGTCAGGAGAAGGTGGTTGCGAGCGGCCAGACATACTTGTCTGGAGTCCTCTTGCAGAGCGAGCGGAAATGCGAAAGCGGGCGGAGGATAAGCATACAGCTCTCAAAGGCTCCCAGGAAGACAATTCGCAGAATCAGTGGAAGGATGAGGAGGAGGGACGAGGAGAAGAAGTCGATATACCCATTGATTCGATTCCCCACTGTTATCCGGTTTACTTACTCAGACTAATACTTTCTGATACATGGCACATTGCTAATAGTCAATGTCCATTAATAAAGCCCGTCGAACGTTTTGCTAACACCCTCTCTGATTTATTTACATACCACTCCGTAAAATCTTAGCGCGAGCGAGCGCCCCTTCCTCCATCTTTATTTCGTTCTGCGACTCGCCAGCTGTATCTCTGGTCCTCGTCTCCGCATTGAACGTCGTAGCGCGCAACGGTGAACTCACCACGCCCCGGAGAAGCTTCAGAAGAGCATTCACGAAAACTTTATGAAGTCCTTTGGCCAGGAACTAGTAAACCACCGCAAGCCCAGCCGTTGTGGAAGTACAGCAAAAATGTGAGTGTGATTGCATGCTTCTTACTCGTAGTAGATCTCATTCTCCATCTCCAGGCCTACAAGTATCACCATGAACCTCGATGTCTTATTGGCGATCATGGGCTTCGTCGTGGCGATGCCGGCAGACATTGCACCTCATCCAAGCTGTACTATCGCATCGATGATGCGGGCAAACCGTGCACTCTACCACGAAGGTGCCAAGGTACTCCTGTCCGGCGAAGTCAGGCTCGGCACCGAAAAGCCTCGTAACGTATCCTCATTCGCCGAATGTTGCCTCGCAGAGAACGGCATCCGCTTGGCCTACGTGCGCAGACTCGTTTTGACGGCACGGTTCTACACCACTACTTCCCCCGCCGCTCTATCAACTCTCCTTCCTAAATTCCCAAATCTTATCAGTCTTTCGCTTCTGGGATGGACAGAGTCTCTATTCGAAGGCAGCGAAGGGGAAGTTTCTTTTTTCCGCCGTCGCATCTCTGAAAACCCTCTCGCGTCTAGAGGTTCGCGAAGGAGCAGCCGAATACTGGGGAGTGCTCCATAACCTCCGGTCCCCTTTACGCGAGCTCGTATGGGTATGCCGCGAGGGTCTCGATCCCATACAGTCACTGTTCTTCTGGCTCTCTCATTATGCCCCGACACTGGAAACACTCCACCTTGCTGGCGTCGATCTGTTCTATGAGCGACGCCGGCTCGAACCCCGCTTCCTCAAGGTCTCAAACCTTATACTCGACATCACGATCCTGGACGCCGCGTCGTTTGACATCAGCGACCTCGTTGCATGCCACAACATCAAGCGTCTCACTACCACCACGGCATCTCATTCTTTCACCAAGTACTACCACAGATATAACGCGTTCGAGTATGCCCGACGACACAATCGGAAGACAGCCGCGCGAGACGACCGCTCTGCGTGGGCCTCCCTCATGGAGGTACGCACCGACGTCGTTACTGCGTGGGCATTCGGGCTATCCTGCAAAGTCGAGCGCCTGTGGCTACAGCTCCATCACCACAACGACATCGAGCGGCCACTACCGGAGGTGCTCGCGGACCTCCGCCCTACCACCCTGTACCTGGAATTTCATATGACAGGACCATTCCGTGAACCGCTACACTCGCCAGCCGTGAGGAGGGCCCTTGTACAAGCTGCGAGGAACCACCCTCCTGAGCTCTCTGTGGTCGACGTCGGGCTCTACGTGGACATCGGATCGGTGGACGCGGATCTGCAGAATGTGCTGCAAGCATTCGCGGGTCTGAAGGTGGAATCTTTCCGCCTGATTATCCTTGGATTCGACGATCCTCGCCACGGTAGGGTTGCAGCAACCAAGGACGATACTACGCTTGCGGCCTTGCGTGTTCTCAATCCCAAAGCGATCGTGCAGGACATACTG